CATGACCTCCAGAGGTCCATTCCAGCCTTCCTTTTCTATGATTCTAGGTCCCACAGCCAAACACTGGCAGTCAGGAATAGTGTCTAAGGGTAATGATTCCAAGCTCTGTGTTCCGAATATTATACAGTGTATTCCAGAGTTGTTGCCAATCACATAAATATTATGATTAATATTGTAAATACCGTTATCACTTAGTTCTTATATAGCACTTTGAATAATTTTACTTTTTTGCTGCAACTAAAATTCCGTCCTTCCCTCTAGATAAGGAAAACAACAGCCAGTCAGTTATATGAAATGCTGATAACATTCAGTGATATTGTTGATCCTGATATCATGGATGAGGTCATGACGTTACTTAGTGACACCAACTGGTAAGTGAATTTGTCAGAGATATGTTTAACCATAAGGCCTTTTGAAATATTCTTGTATCAGTGAAATAAAATCTGCCTAGACATTTGTCCATGAAAAATGGTGGAGAGGTAAGCTTAGTTAGATCTGCGTATCAGTTCAGACAGAGTTTTATGCCAAAAGGGTGCTGCTGATGGGGACCTTTCTGATCTGGAGATTTGTATATTATAAAACAGGGCTGTTCAGCTGGCAACCTGCAAGGGGTTAACTTGTAGCCCCTGGGCTCCCACCTGGCTGCTGCTCTCTCCATCACTCAGGCTGCAGCAGCCAAGGTCTTCAGACTCCTTCTCCCTTCTCCAGCTTCTGTGTCCATGGGGTCAGGGTGCAGCAGCACAACACAGCGTGTGGTGTCAGGGAAGCCCATGTCTAGAGAGCTAGAGGTAGGGGCTGGGGTCCATACAGTGCAGTGAAGGTGGAGGAGGTGTCCATGTGGCATACAGCTCTGGGGGTCTGCAGCCTGCACTATTGTGACCCATGTAGTGTACAGCTTTCACCAGTATAGCCTGTGTGACATATGGCCCTAGGTGCTTAGAAGCTGGACAGCCCTGTTATAAAATATATGGGCCCAATAAAGGTGGTATTTTTTTCTTTACTTTGTCTAATGGTGTTTATAAAAATACTTATACTTTCTAACAAAGTAAAAGGAGAGGAAATCCTGGAAATTCTCCACAAGACACAAAGAGACTGGACTGTGCAAACAGACAAACTTCAATTGCAGAGACAGCTTCTTGGCATGAGCAAGCACTCCGGGAAGAGAGGTGGTGTTTGGGAATTGGAAGGTGTCAGAATGAGCAGAACTACTCATATATTGCTATGAAGTATAATAGTTCAGATAGTGTGAAACCTTTCTCCTTCATGCAGATACTTTGAAATAGAACAGTTTAACATTTCCCCAGTGGAACATTTCATGGTGTTCTTTCAATTTAATAACTATCTTTACGATATAAAGCAAGTCCTCCTTTTTACCTTCTGTTTTCTTTGGCATTAAACCTTGTATGGAAAAAAATTCTGTATGCTTCCTAAATGCAGTAATGAATTAATACAATTGACTGTACCTCAGTTTTGTATGCCAGAACTTCGAGTTCTTCTGGTTTTACTTTTGTTAAAGGAGAGATGTGTTAGAAGAGTACTCAGGCACATAGCATCATATGGTCTAGGTGTAGTGAGTAGTGGAATATAAAAGACAAAAACTGCCTGTCTGTCAGAAATGAAGTAGTCTCAGTTCCAGATTTTGTTTCACCTGAAGTTCACCCAGTAAGAAAACTGGAGTATTTGTTTTTCTAGGAGTCTCCTTGCATAAAATCACTGACTAGAAGCTCAGGACTGTAGAGAAAGGGGAGTAGTATATGTACTGCTGACCATTTTATACCTGTTTTTCATTTTTTTTCACAGCATAAATAATTAGCCTAGGATAGTGATTGTTATTAGAGATAAGACTATGGCTAAGTACTTTTAGATTCACACAGATATCTTCAAAGATTGATTGTTTAAAGCACTGAAAGTTTGGTTGTTTCACTGCCATTTATAATGATCCTTTTCCTTCTTAGTGGGCATGTCTACACGTGCATTTACGCCAGCTTAAATTTACTGTGCAGTAAGCGGCTTGGGCGACTGGTGTCTCCTGAGTCAGGAGGGCCATGTACCCCCCCCGCACGGCTAGTCAGCAACTGGGGATAGGGTGGGGGAAGAGGGGTCCCCTACAGCTGATTTTGCCAGACTGGGGGAGGCTTCTCCTGGCACTCATGTGCACCCCCGTGCATCCCCTATGCACTGCCACTGGTAAGCGGAAATAGGCCAGTGTCTACATATGCAGGCGTTAAAGCACGTTAGTGCTGTGTATGGACTGACTTGGGACTAAAATTAGTTCCAAGTCAGTCCACACACACTGTTACTGTGCAGTAAGGCATCAATACGTGTTATTGCACAGTTACTAATTGGGCATAAATTAATACCTGCATGATGCAGGTATCAAATTTACACTTAAGTCAGCATAAGTCGCCACATCTACTGTGCAGTATGGGGGTGCACGCGTAGACGCATGCCTGTACTGTGCAGTAATTTCAGTTACTGCACAGTAAATGAGCGTATGTGGACTCGCCCAGTATTTTCTTATTTTGGTGGTGCAGCAAATTGTTCTAATCATTACAGTAAAATTAATTTATAATTTAAATGTTTCCCCACACCTTTTCAACACATTTAGACTCATAAGTTCTCTGAAATTATGTAGAAAAAACAAGCAAAGAATGATTTGAGTTTCTTGCTGTATATAAGCTTAAGTGGATTTTGGGTTTGGACAGCTTGTATTTGGCAGGATAAAATGAAGTGCTGCATCTGAAATACAGGGATTTTTTAGGCCATAGTTTACCTCTGCCCTGCCATGCAATTCCTGGCTGATAGTAGGTTGAATGGAAATAAATCTTCAGTGCTTGTTTAAAAGTTATCAATGTAATGGTTGGTTCTTACTTTTCCTACTCTTCTAGTGCAAAATTAAAATATCCATGTGATCTTTTTTCAAATTTGCAGGATTTTTCTTTTCATTTGTATCTTTTATACTTCATATATGACCACAAGTTCTTTAGTCAGGGAGTTGGTTTTTTTTTTACAATTAAAATGTTGTACAGTATTTCAAAACAGCAATTTTTCATATACAAGTACAGAATTAATACTAAACAGAAGTCTAAATTTTTAGATTTGCCAGAACATTACACATTGCTTAACTATTTTGGCCTTTAAGTCACTTTCATCTCCATAACTTGTGAAGAAGAAAGGGGTCTGCTGCTTTGCCATATAGAACAAGTTTAGAAATAAACAGAAGAATACTTATACAATACTGGGACAAGCCACTGCTTTAAGAACAACATTTAATGTCTTCTAGACTTTCCACTGCTTAGCTGTTACTAAATAAAAACTGAAATGCTTAAAATCACGATAGAAAATATCACAGTGTTACAGTCCTGGTCTTAAATTATTAAGTCACCACAACCCAGCCCTTCAACTGCTAAAATTCGCTAAAGAGAAGAAAATCTTTTATTTCCATCTAGTCAGTTCTAATATGTAGTTGGTTAGCTTTTCCCTGCTGGCTCAGGCCTTAATAAAGCTCCAAACTCAAAAACAGGTCTGTTTGTAGCATGGTGGTTTACTTGTGATTTTTTTTTTTAAATCTGTGCGTAGTTGAAGACAAGAATGTTTAGGAAAGATGACTTATGAAGCCTTTGCTAGGGATCATCAAGAGTATTAAAATTCTTAATTTTGTGTATAGGTGGTGCAGGAACCACTTTTACTTCTAAATAAATCAGGAAGCTGAATCGACCTCAGATATTTGGTAAAGAAGACAATAACCAGGATATGCATATTTTAAATAGTCTTCCTGTGAAATGAAGTGGGTTTGAAGTACAGTTGTTTAATATGCACTATAGTAACGTGCGCCTTTTGTTTAGAATTGAAAAAAATTTGAATTAAGGGTATTTCCAAAATTGTCAAGAAGCTTTTAAATGCTAGAACTATCCAGCAGTTAGCTTATGAGTGCCATTTTCTCTCTGTAGTTCTGGCATCACAGTGATGTCCTCTCCCTTTAAAATCAGCTCAGGACCAGAGAACAGTTATTAACTAAGAGAACGTGTATACCTTCTTAAAAAGTTAATATTTACTGACATAATGAATGGTGGTGTTGATACCATGGCTTGCTTGTTAATTAAAATGCAAAATACCTGCTGTATCAGAGTGACTGTTTCGTTTTAATGCAACATTTTCCAACATGGTTTGCGGCATCACTACAGCAAATCATTTGGGCATACTGTAAGCTAAACTGAAATTCAATATAAAGTTTGTATCCTGCTCTCTTTTTCTGAGGCAAAATGCAACTTTATACCAAGGGAAAATACTACAAAGAATGGAATTTTAATCCACTGCTGAAATAAATGCTTGCATGACAAGAGTGTTACATTTCACAGGCAAAAGATCTAAAGCAATTGGAAAGAAAAATGTTTTAGCAAAAAAAATGAAAAAAAAAATTTTTTAAAAAAAAAAAAAAAAAAAAAAAAAAAAAAAAATATATATATATATATATATTTGTCACTATCAAATGACTTAATTCTGAAATGTCACTACTGGGACATAGCATATTTAGGATGCCTCTGTTTTAATGTACAGCATTGAAAATATCTGACAACTTATTAAAATATTGACTAGGTTTGATTTGAACTTTATACATGACAGAACACTCTAATAGGAATGCAGCTGAACAGCAAATACTATTGTGAGATTTCTTAAGCTGTTTGTTTCATTATGGCCAGCACTTCCCTGCTACCAAATTTCCAGACCCCTGGGGAGCCCCACCAGACAGATGATAACAGCTCTGCAGGCTGGATCTGGCCTGCAGCCTGAGCGTTTAGCACCCCTGGCTTATACATTTGGTCAGCTAAATCTATTAAATATGATTTTCTTTCTGAATTGACTGAAAAGGTAGTATTTCTCTTTTCCTTTCCAGGGATGCTGAATTACCGCTAGTGAGAGAGAAACGTAACTACCTTTGTGACCTCATGAAGGTGCCCAAACCGCAACCGGTAACCAAGGTAAAGTCTGGAACGTATTGTCAAACTTTCCTTGAAAACAAAATGAAAGCATTAATTGCTTTACCATGAATTCTGTCTTTTCAGACTATTTCATAGGGAACTGCGTGTGCTGTCCTTGTTAATAAAATATAGAAATCAGGACCTAAAGGAATGTGCTGCACATCTAAGTCTTAAATACAGAATGTATGGAATTGCCAAAAATGGTTCTTATAAAGCCCTCCAGTCCCATTCCTTGAAATCATTCCAGACTTCTGGTATAAACTCAACTTATTGAGACAATGGAAGAATGAAATAATGTAATACAGATACCTCAGTATGAGTGTGTCTGTACTGTTAGGGAAAAGATGGTAAGAATTCCCCCTCCAAATTGAAGAGCAAAACTAAAATTCTCTGACACCGATGACCTCTCAATATATCAACTTTTCATTTAGAACAAAAAGGTATTGAAACATTCAGGAAAACTGTATTCCTAAAGCTAATACATAAAATGAGGTTCTCTGAGAGTAGATAAATATTCCCTAAGGTATGGGTCAAAAGCCTATATAGCCTGTGGGCCAAAGCTGTGATTGTACTCAGCCTTGGAAGTCAGGGTGTCTGCAGAAATTTGGCAGCAGGGGGATCAGTGGAAGGTAAGCAGCTACGAAGTGGGTTGGAAGCTGTGGCAGCGGTTGGATTTGAAGTGGTGGCCTGCCTTTAGAGCAATCTCTATTCATATAGCCTGTTGTTCTTAAAAGGCTGATTTCAAATTTACCCAGCAGCTTCCTTTGGAGAAGCTGCCCCCATGAAGGTGGAGAACCCTCTGCTTCCATCACAGTAACCTGGGCTAATGGAGCGTAAGCATTCTTTTCCTTCAGACACATTCATACTGTGAGGAGGCCAGTGGTGAGGAGAAGAAATAGTTTAAATAAGATGATGGACAAATAAATACATATCACCATCTTCATTCTGCTTTGAAATAGTTCATTAGGGGAGGCCCAGAAAATAGCTCAGTTTGCAAGCCCTGAAATTGTACAAGGTCACAGAACCCAAACCCAGAGATACTTTTTCACTCTTAGGTTCCTGCAGCAATTGTAATTACTGCTGAGGGAGCTTTCCTACTAAAAGATCCCGCAGGCAAGAAAATAAATGTCATCCTTAGGGCTGCTGAAGCAGCTTTGAAGTTTGTTCTAACTGTTACTGGCAAGCGGTACTTGTCCTGCTGTGATGGACTAGAGACCTCTACCATGAGATCAAAGAAAAGATCAAGTTAATACCTAAGGAAATATTCTTAGTGGTTGTGTTCATAAAGCGAGGATTTGTGGACTCTCATAAATTTGGCAGCAAGAGCTAGTTCAAATATCCTGGCACCACCACTGACATAGGAATAATTCATCTGACCTCAGACTCTCAGTTTGAATCCTGTTTATGGAGAAGCTTGATGATGAAGATGGGTGATAATATGGACACATGGAAATGCAGTCTTCACTCTAATTTGGGTCTGTAACTCATTACAGGAGCAGATAGTTTATTTTGGTCCCATTGACTGCAAAGACCCCAGAGAAGGGACTCTTTTTCCAGGAGTAACAATTATAAGAAACAACTATAAGAAAATCCAACCAGGGAATAAATACAAACTCTTATCCAAGAAGTATAATTTATGTAGCCTGTTTCCTTGGCTTAGGGCTCAGGAGATCCAACGCCACCCAAGCCTGATTAAGGGAAGGTCATATTGGATAATTGTTCTGTAGAGCCGTTGGTCTTTCCACTTGCTTTCTAGTGTCAGCAGATGAGAAACAAACCTAAAGATCTCATGCCTTCCACATTTGAGAAAAACAAAAGTGATACTAAACAATGTGGGGGGTTCTTTCATCATTCTTCACAGGAAGAGAGGTCTCAGGAGAACTCCTAAACTTCGTGAAGATGAACAGGCTGCTGAAAAAGACAGAGTTAGGGAGTAAAGTGTCTGTTATTACAGCATGATTTGGAGGAGATGCATAAGAAATGTATCACACACATTCTGGTCAGGTTCTATCATTAGTAGGTTCCTTCTGTTCTCTAAATGTAATTTCTACCTACCAATACAAAATTATCTGTTTTCCATCCCCTGACCATTCATGAGCATATAATTAGTGACAAAAGCCTGGCTGAAGTGGCTAAATGCATCTCTCCCCTCATTCTTTGGATGACACATTCAAGGGTCATCCCCCCAAACCATATAGCAAGAGATCCAGGTACATCTAGGCCAGTGGTGCTCAACCTACCAACCCCATGTACCAGTCCAGCCCTGTGCACCAGACCCTGCCACAGAGCAACCTCACTTAGAGTGACCCCAGGCACCAAATCTGGTCGTGGGCTGACTCCACACGTTAGCGTGATCTGGCATGTAGGGCCATGTCATCCAGCCCACCTCACTTCCAATGGGGGTCTGGGGACCCCAACAATTAATACTGGCACTGTTCCCTTACTGCTGTAGAGGAAATCCTGCTATCATTTCCTCACTGCCAAATTTCTGGACTTATTGGGACCCCCACGGGCCGGATGACATGGCTCTATGGGCTGCCAATTGAGCACCACTGCTCTAGGCCATAAATATATGGATTTATGATATTAAAATTCCATCTGAATTCTATCCACATGTGAATCAGGAGAAATGGGAGGCCCAATGTCTTTCCAACTGAGGAAAGGTTTGACCAAATCCAAGGTGTTACAAAATGAAGACTGATTCCACTTGTTCATCTTTAACTGCAGCTTCTAAAACTTCTGGTCTCATGAATAAGAATTGCTTACATGAGCACTTCAGATACATTCCTTCCAGGCCTACACCGTTCTTAGCAGGGGATTTTAAAAGAAAGTGAAAGTATCTCCCTCTGTAGACAGTATTTACCGCATGGCAACAGTAAATGTGTAAATGGCTTGGCTCATCCTTCTGCAATATGGACCCCCAAAACCTCAGTGCAGGCTTCCCAGCCTTTCAGGGTGACAAACACTGGAGAAATAAGAACTCAGGCTGGTTCTTGTGCGCTTTTAAAGTTACTGTATCTTGATTGAGTCAAACATTAATTGTAGTATGTACAAATGGGTACAGGTTTAATGGAGAGGAAGAATTTGTTTTGGGGGTAGAAGGTCCCCTTGTTTCCATTAGGATGATGCAGAGAAATAGACCAGGGCTGTCCAACTGGTGGCCTCTGAGGAATGAACTTGTAGCCCCTGAGCTCCTGCTCTGAGCATGTCTACCCTTTTCTCTGCCTCTACCTCCTGCCTCTGCCCCACATCAGAGTTGATGTGAATTGTGAAGTCCTTTGCTTCATCTGACAAGAATGTCAAAATATTGGACCAGAAAATATTCTTGAGACATGAGCCAATTGTATTCTAATTCACTCGGAGACTGAAAGGAAAGAGCGGGAAGAAATGAAATGTCTCCTTAAAAACAAGACACCTAAATGTGTGTCAATGTTTGAAAGTTGCTGCAAGTAACATAATACTGAGCTTCCATTAAATACCTGTGCATCCCATTGAAGACCCAGAAGTTAAATTAGTGTTTTACCTTTTTTCTTCAAATAAAAATAACTAAACCATTTGTAAGCAAAGCAACCTAGTGAATACTCCTGGAGTTAACTCTAAGAAGTAATAACTCACTGAACTTGAACCATTTGCACAGCAGTCTGATTCAGTGACAAACAGGTTTTGGTGGCTTTTTGTATGTGCATGCATGAGAGTGCACAACACTTTGCCTTTCCCCAGAAGCTCAAATTTCACAAAAGCAGAGAAAAACAACCAACTTGGCTAGATAAAGCCAGGCATAACATCTCAATTGCTCCCTTTTTACAAATGGATTGTATTTTTTTTAAGCTGAATGAGGTTCATTTAACCTAAATCCATGTTTACAGTTGTATCATGCACATTTTTGACAGAATGAAAAGAAACCTGACATTCCAGTCTGAACATAAGTAATGGAAAGCACTCTCTTATAGTAGTAGCTCTAAAAATACCCTAGCTATTACAAAATCTATACAGGAGTAGCTCTAAAAATACCCTAGCTATTACAAAATCTATACAATCTTAAAATAGAAGTTTGTGTTTCAAAAATGTAATTCATGGACTCAACCAAAGCAACTGTAGCTGGTGGCTGTTAAAAACAACTGAATACACCACCGAAAAGCAATTTCATGAACTCTTCTTTCTGTTTTGTTTCTATAGAGTGCTGCGTAATGTGTTTAGCATGGGCTGTTCCTTTGAAAACTGATGTTCTTGGGCTTGTGTCGTAAAAGAGGAAGCAGCTTGTGTGGCGATGTCTCAACAGCCTGGATTCTTAGTAAGAGCTGCAAAATGCGACCTTCAGCCACAGTCACGTCAAGAGTCAAAGTCTATTTTGTGTTGCACATATTTACCACTATGTAAAGGCAGCCATCAAAGTTAGTTGTTTCCAGATCTCGCGTTCATTATCTGTAGCCACAAGACTACAGTTTAACCTTGTGATCATAACCTGTAGCAGTTTAACCTCGTGATCATATAATTGAATTTTTTGTTTTTGTTTTTGATGCTAATGACTTGTATTCCTTCAAATCTGAATTAAAGTCTCCCATATACAGTCATTCAGTCTGTATGATCATGCAACACCTTCACAACTTAGGGCTGATGCTTGTAGTCAAGTAAGATATTCAACCCTGAATTGTTACATTTAGAGCAGCGCTGCCCAACTTGGACAGTCCTATCTTGGGGAATTTTTTTCATGGTTAAGTGTGGCAACATTTAATGGCAATAAAATCTTTCCCATCATCTTCAGACAAAGCATCTCATTAGGTGTGGACAAATGGGGCTTATCTGTATTCAATCAGTAGCAGGACCTCATCCATGTCCATTTGTTCTTTTCCAGTCACACGCACCCAACTCCACTCTGTACATACTCAAGCAGTTCATACTAAATTATGCCATCTTACCACCAGGCAGAGTCAAATTCAGGGATGAGAATACTGGCATGTGAGGTAAACAATCACATTTTATTATTTACTTTTTTCATGTCAGAGGAAGACTCTTTTGTATATTGGTTCACTATTTAATTTTTAAAAATGTCTGTACTATGGCAAGTTGCTGTTGCTAGTTTTTGTTTTTTAAAGGATGACAGCACAGGGCTGTTTTTCATCTAACTTGCCCGTTTTTAGTACTCAAGTACTTCCCTAGCAAAGAACCTGAAAAGCTTTTTAGCTATGAATTATGAAAAACTGGCACCAGTGGTACCTGCTTGCCTTCATCTTTAAAGCTGCATGCTCAAAAATGAGTTATACAGAAAAGCTTTTAAACAAATTCAACACATGTTCAAGCTTAGCTATCTATGCCAATATTTTGTTCTAACTGTCGCTCCTTGGTTTTCTCTATACTGTTTTGGACATGCACACAGTTAGCCTTCTATGTGCTTCACAAAATTGCTCTTAGAGCTGAATATTTTTGACAGCTGTATCTACACAGGTATTACAGTAAGTAAGGTCACTCACCCTGCACTGTGTTTCTATTATCGTTTGCAAATCAAACTGAAAATAGAAAAGACAAGGGAACACTTCAGTCAGCATAACACCAGTAAATTGTAACTGATGTGACATGCCTGAGCCAGCTGTGAAGACTGCCAGTTGTTTCTGTGGGCACAAGCAAAGGGCACTGTAGTGAACACAGTAATTTGCTGATTTTTTCTCAAAACTGCAGTCAGTCACTCCATAAACAGGCCACTATGGAGAAATGATACAAAAGGTGATTTTTTCCCCCCCTATTGTAAGTCAAAGCATATCTGACACTTTGAGAGAGTGTACCAGAGAGATTTTAAAAAGCTATTATTGTACTATTTTTTACTATTGTGGCAGAGTACACACTGAGTACTAGGGGTGCACGAAGCAGGCCCTATTTGATTCGGATTTGGCCCGAATCAGGAACAGGGATGCGATTTGTTGATTTGCATCACTGTTCCTGATTCAATTCGGCCAAATCTGAATCTGAAGATTCGATGCTGATTCAGAGAATCAGCAATTTGGACATGGACGCAGGTTTAAATGTTTTTTCTACATCCCTCAAGGTACCAGGATGGCTCGTGAACACTGCGATGCTGGGGCACATGGAGCATCCCACAGGAGCGCAGGGGAGGCCTGCCATGTGCTTGGTGGCGAACCTGAAACTGGAGTGGAAGTACTTCCAGTCCACTTCCGGGTCTGCTGAGGAGCACGTGGGGGACTCCCCCCATGTCCCCCCAGCTCAGCAATCAGCCACAGGGGGGAACCCAGGTGCCCCCCCAGACCCAGGAGGTAGCAGTTGCTGAGCTGGGGGGCATAGGGGCGCAGGGCCACCCCCCCCACCCCCCGCCGTGCTCCCCGGTAGACTCAGTAGCGTACTGGAAGTGCTTCTGGTCCAATTCTGGGTCTGCTGCCGAGTGCACTGGGGAGCCCCCCGCGCTCGCCTGGGACACTCCACGTGCCCAAGCATTGCAGCTTTCATGACCTGCCTGCTACCTAGAGGTATGTAGAAAAAACATTTAAAGCTGTGTCTATGTCTGAATTGCCAAATCTTTCTGAATCTCTCCAAATCCATTCAGAGGGTTCCAATTCGATTCAGAAAGATTCAAGGGTCCTCTGATTTGGATTCAGAGATTCGGCCACCGAGATATGGCACGGAGAAGTCCGGGCTGGGTCATGTGTGACTACAGGGCTCTGGGAGCTGGGCTCAAGGGTCTGGGGGCACAGATAGTTTTTTTCTTCAATCCTCCCTGTCACATGACATGGGCTCCGAGGGATAGGTGCACTGGTGCGGTGAATAGAAGACTCTGGCAATGGTGCCATTGCGAGGGGTTTGGCTTCCTTGGCTACGGTCTGCACGTCAGAGAGAGTGGACTGTTGGGAAGGGATGGCCTCCACCTCACCTGGAAAGGGAAGAAGTTCTTCTCAGCCAGAAAGGTTGACCTTTTTGACAGGGCTTTAAACTGAGACCACTGGAGGATGGGCGGTCTACTAACAGTTCTAGCCCAGGTCATGTCAGCTGCACCACCAATAACTTGGGCAGCCCAAGGGAACCCAGTCTGGTGACAGCCCAAGGAAAGGTCCCGCTTCACCCCTCATGGAGGCAGTGGGCTTCTCATGGTAAACTTAACTGTCTGTACACAAATGCCAGGAGCCTGGGAAAGAAGCATGAGGAACTGTCTGTTCTGCTATGTGAAAATGACTATGACCTTGTAGGAATTAATGGCAACCTGGTCGGACTCCATCTATGATTGGTCAGTGGCCGTAGAGGGTTACACCTTGTATAAGAGAGGTCATGTGAGGAAGAGGGGTGGGGGTATTACTTTCTGCAGATTGAGTTTCCAAACCAGGAAGGACATCATACAAGGAGAACATGGGGAAGGTGACTTACTTGTAGGAGTCTACTATAGACCTCCCCATCAAGAGGAAGAACTAGATTAGGAATTCAATAGGGAACTGGTTGAAGCTGCACGCTCCCAATGCATGATCATCATGGGAGACTTCAACTTCCCTGACATCTCTTGAGATGAACGGACTGCCAAATCTGACAGGTCGCGTAGCATTCTCATGTGCATCGATGACCTCTACTTAACCAAGGAGGTCTATGGGCCCACTAGGGGAGAAGCGTTGCTTGATCTGGTCCTGGCCAAAGGGGAGGGCCTGGTGAGCGATCCGCAGATCGACGGGAAGCTTGGTGACAGTGACCATGAATTGGTCACCTTTTTAGTTCACGGAAGAGCAGGCAAGCCCCTCAGTAAAACAGAAGTCCTTAACTTTGGGAAGGCTGGCTTTTGCAAACTGAGAGAATTTTGCAATCAGTCAGTCAGGCAATTGGTCAGGAGGCTATACCCCCCCAGAAAAGGGAGTACATGAGCAATTGTCATCTTTCAAAAACATAATCCTTGAAGCACAGGGCAAAGCCATACCATCTTGCAAGAAATGCAGTCAACGGGCAAGGATGCCCCCATAACTGAATAAGGAACTGTCGGACCTTATTAAACTCAAAAGAGCCTAACCAGCTGGAAAACAGGAAGCTTCACCAAAGTGGATTACTCTGCACTCGCCCGTACCTGTAGAGAGTGGTCAAGAAAAGCCAAAGCACAAACCAAACTTGGGCTAGCTACAGGAATCAAGGACAACAAAAAGTCCATCTTCAGATATGTGGGAAGTCGGACAAAGAACAAAGATAGCATTGGGTCCCTGTGAAATCCAACCGGGCAACTGGCATCCAATGACCAAGAAAGGGCCAATCTCCTAAATGACTTTTTTGCATTTGTTTTTTACCCTTCCAGGAGGATCACACTGTCAGGAATGGCACAAACCAATCCAGGAGCAAACGACGGGCCCAAAATCGATGTGGATCAGGTGACGGAACACCTTGGGAAACTGGACATTCACAAGTCTGCAGGTCCAGATGGAATGCACCTGAGAGTCTTGAAGGAGCTGGCAGACATCATTGCATCCCCCTTGGCAGATATATTTGAAAATTTGTGGTGCTTAGGTGAGGTCCCTGACGACTGGAAAAGAGCCAGCCTGGTCCCTATCTTCAAGAAAGGGAGGAGGGTGACCCGGGGAACTATAGACCAATCAGTCTGACGTCTGTTCCTGGACAAATCCTGGAGAAAATTGTCAAGGGATCCATCAACACCAGACTAATGGAAAGCAAGTTTCTGAATGCCAGCCAAAATGGCTTTTTTGACTGGCAGGTCTTGCCTGACCAACCTCATCTCCTTCTATGACCAGGTAACATGTGCCCTGGACAAGGGAGATGATGTCGATGTCATATAGCTAGATTTCAAGAAAGCCTTTGACCTAGTTCCCTGTGATGTCCTCATGGTTAAGCTGGGAAACTGTGGCCTTGATCTTCATACGGTCCGATGGCTAGGCAACTGGCTATGGGGTTGGACCCAAAGAGTACTAGTTGATGGGAGCAAATCAACGTGGCACAGGGTGACCAGTGGAGTCCCTCAGGGCTTGGTACTTGGGCCACTACTCTTTAACATCTTCATCAATGATCTGGAGTCAGGAGTCAGATGTGAACTGGCGAAGTTCGCAGATGATGCCAAATTATGGTGGAGGGCGGTCACACCGCAGGACAGGCTGGGGATACAGGCCGACTTGGACACGCTTTCAAGGTAGGCTGACCAAAACCTGATGGCCTTCAATGCAGAGAAGTGTATGGTGCTGCACCTCAGTAGGAAGACCCTCCAACATACTTACAGGCTTGGCAGCGCTATGCTCGCTAGCACCATGACCGAAAGGGACTTGGGGGTCTTGATTGACCACAAAATGAATATGAGCCACCAATGTGATGCCTTGGCTGGCAAAGCTAACCAAACTCTGGCATGCATCCACCAATGCATATCAAGCAAAATCAGGGAAGTCATCCTCCTGCTTTACTCAGCCCTGGTGAGACCACAGCTGGAGTACTGCATCCAATATTGGACCCTCATATGATCCAAGGCCTGGAGGGAGGGCCGTACGAGGAGAGGTTGAGGGACTTGGGACTCTTCAGTCTGGAGAAGAGAAGGCTCAGGGGAGACTTGGTGGCAGCCTACAATTATATAAGAGGGGTACATCAGGACCTGGGAGAACAGCTGTTCACCAGAGCTCCCCAAGGGATAACAAGGTCTAATGGCCATAAACTCCAGGAAGGCCAATTTAGACTAGACATAAGAAAAAAGTACTTTATGGTGCATGTGTCCAGGGTCTGGAACAAACTCCCCCCAGAGGTGGTGCAAACACCTACTCTGGACTCTTCCAAAAAACAGGTGGATATATTTCTTGCTGGGGTCACTTGATCCCAGCTGACTTCCCACCTATGGCGGTGGGGTCTGGACTCGATGATCTCATGAGGTCCCTTCCAGCCCCTGATGTCTATGAAATCTATGAATCTCTGCCAAATCGAATCAGGGACTGAAGCTTTGCACAACTCTACTGAGTACACACTTCAGATCTATGCAGAGGGCTGGATCCTTGAGGTCATGGTCAGAGCTTCACAGGTGAAGAAGAAGCTGCCATATCACGTGCTGCTGTCTAGAGCAAGTAGCCTGGAACAGCATGCTGGGCTTAGCCCACACATCTGGCATACCATCTCCAATGTCTGCCAAGATATGAAGCAGGAATCAGGGTGGGTTAAAACCATTTCTACTCATCTGTCAATACTTATGGGTTGTGTCAGATGCACTGGGCCAAACTGGGAGGGTTTTGTCACTGTCTGAATGTGACTGAGAGAGAAGGTGACATGTTTACACTGAAGTGTAACAAGAAATCCTGAAGTGAGAAAAACAGAATGAAACATTTCAGTAAGCTTTTGATTTTAGGTTTGTATAATAGGGCGTTGGCCCGTCAGACATTAAATATAGCTACAGGTGTTTGTTTCCACTGCCAGCACATTTGAAGATTTTTTTCCCATTTAACTGAGGCCATACAATTCAAACTGTCAATCCTTTTCTTGCCATCCACCATGGTGTGCCTCCACGGCTGGGAGCCTCATCAGCTGAGGGGACTCAGCTGTGGGAGCTTTCGACTTGTCGGTGCAGGGGGAGTCCAGGATCATGATCCTAGGTACCCCCTGTACCAGCAACAAGACATGATGGAATCTGATGCACGATCCCACAATTACACCTCCTGCAATGCACTTGTGGCACGGGAGGAAGTACAATTATATCATCATACCTTTACCTGCATGTCTGGAGGGGCCCATTTGTAATAAATCACTAAGTGTCATATTTCTCTTGAAAAACAAAGCATAATGTAGACCTGAGGTTCTAGTTCTGTTCTGGCAACAATATAACTCGACAGTCCCCCCTACTAGGGAAACACGGCTTTATAAGATGTTAACGAAGTCTACTTACTCTTCAAATCAACCTGGGAGGCAAACTGGGAGGTGACTGCTTACGGGAGGCGACTGCTTGTGTAGTCCTGTGGCTGCAAAATGCTTCTTATCCACACTACTTTTTGCACAGGCTGAAATCAGAGGGATGCCATAACTTCAGGCCTCTTTAATCCCTCAATACTAGCAGTTCCCATGGATACAAAGTGGTAATGCAAAGACTGTACCTCAGGAAACACCAGCTGTTATTGTCAGTAGCAAGTGATTAACCAATTCCAGGGAATGGCTTGGGGCCCCCTGACCACTTTTGACAGAACCCAAGTCTTCAAGGTCTTTATGCACTTTCTTTCGGAACATTTATATGATGTTTGATTGGGACTTAATATTTCCTTGGGGCTAGCAGCTCATTCTGCAGTCTAGCAGACAGTACTGGATGGCAACCTAAGGCCAGAAACATAAGTGACAATGTCAAAGGCTGCACAATTTAGCAACAAAAAATGTGCATCTCAGCATCATGCTGCATTGGTTGCTAGTGATTTTTGTTTGATCCTGAATTCTGTGACTAAGTGGGAAAAATTACAGCTGTCAGCTGACTTTATGAAGCAAGAAATAGGCCTTATTAAAAATTGGTAAATATAGATGCCAGAGGGCATTACTAAAGTTTGCTTTTAGAAGTAGATTAATAATCAGAAGACAGATTAATCTGGTGAAGTACGAATGACTAACTGAAATCCAATCCTCTCTGGACACCGTTTTGTTTTCCAACACACATACATTGCTCAAGAAACATGAACTCTCAAATTCATTGCTATACCTCAGCTTTCAGTTGAAGTGATAATAATCCAGTCCCTCTTTCAAGTTCAGTTCATTCAAGTTTTTTTCAAATACTCCACCTGTCAAATCCTATGGGAAGGAAAACAGCATTAGATTGGTTTGGTGAACATTTCAGGGCATAACATTACTCACTTGGGATTTACAGAGCATGGGAAGAAAGCCCCAGCTGTTGGTCTAAATAATAAAGTAGAATTGAGCAATGTTTCTACCTGTTCATATGTTGTTTAATGCACTTAATTATGGCCTTGGTGTTTAAAATTCATGGGTGAAGAGGGCTTATTTCAAATCAATGGAGAAAAATCAAAGAATGATGTTTTAATTGTTTCTCTGAGCTGAAGTCTGTCTTGTTCTCCTCTTGCCTAACTGTCCGTATTCTGGATAACCACTCCACCCCTACTTGAAACAAGTGGCCTATAACTCCAGACAAATACTAGCAGCATTCAATCTCTCTTTTCATCCTAGACTCATGGGGTGAGTGCCGGCATGTTCAAGAGCTTTTCCAAAGGAGCCCAGGGGGGATGTTCACCAGTTCAGAGCGCTGGCAAAGAACTCGCTCGAACTCTGGTACGTGGAACACAAGTAGCTCAGTGAAAGTAGCTCTGCAAGATGACTGTATGTGAGAGCTTTTGTATTTTTAAAGTACATGCACTTTAAAGGAATGGAATGAGGATCCTAGTTTAACAAAATAGTGATTTTGTAGATTTAGCAAAATGATGTTCTTGTCTGATGAAACCTTTCATCAGATCACTGGCATATTAACCACAGTTACAGGTGTTTCCTTCAAATCCTATTTACAGTCTGAACAGGAACGCTGTATTTTTGTTCTACATGCAGTAATGTAGGGCAGTGATACAGACCTTACTGTGGAGGTGATGTCATTAGGTAAACACGCTAACCTCAGCATTTCTCATGTGTTAATACTTTGGTCTCCTACAGCCTTTAATTTCACAGGTCTTTGTTCCCCACTAACAATTCATTAAGCCTTCTAGTTCTGTATGATGTATGCAAGAGATGAACAAAGATTAGTACAGCCTCCCTTTGGGTGGAATACAAACAGCTGTTTTAACAGCGTTACCAGTGCACAATACCACCTTAAAAGGATTTAGGAAGAATGCCGTGCCCAAGTGCATCTCCAGGAGGAATCCAGGGAGACTGGATGCCAAATTTTAGTCACAATAATTGGATTTAAATAAAAAAAATTGTGGAATCTTCAGTGATCACAAAGCTTCAGAACCTAAGGTTTCTGCCTGACAAGGCTGATGGCATCTTCAGCTTCATGTCTCACCAAGGGCAATATGGGAAGGCTACTACCAGCTAACCTGCTTACAAATGACTTGTAGCATATTGATATCTCTGCTAGTCTTCCAGTCCTAGCAGTGAGCAGGCCTCAACCTGTGCTGACCTATAAGACGTTAGGATATTAATGAGTAGCCAGGCAGTACTAGCTGGGATCGGTGCTACTTTTGGGAGTAATGTATGTTGGATGTTCCAAATGTATGTTCCATTCCTCAATATCAAGTTTATGGTTCGGGTTTTGGGGGGTTTTTGGTGGGTTGTTTTTTTTTTTGGGGGGGGGGGGGGGGGAGGAACAACTCTTCACTCTTTCTCCTGCTTAAACTCACAGATGAAAGGAAGTACCTACATTTAGATTCATTCAAACCTCAAACTCAGTCCAGCTCTCTCTACTTCAAAACCAGAGTTCTAATTATATATTTTTTTCAGTTTTCCACTTATATCTGTACTGCAAAAATATCAAGAAAGCTGCTGCTGCTGTTCTGCAATTCCAGCAAGATGGTAATGTCCATGCCAGCACTCATTTTTCAGCTCTGATGTTTATGATTCCAGAGAATGATTCGATAAGTGATTTATACAACATCTTTCCTACCAAAAGCTTCTGAAGCAATTCTAGTGTTCAACCATTGCCTCGGGATGGGGTATGTCAGCTGCCACCCACGTACAACTACACGCTGGGGTCAAATGTGACTGCTGCACACAGTAGCAGTGCACAGATTCAAGGAGATGCATATTAACTTCTGAAGAGCCGCATGTGGATCCAGAGCCGCAGGTTGGCCACCCCTTGCTAAAATATCACATCCAGCCAGATGTGGGAAGTAAAGTTCCTTGGAGTGGCATGGGAGGTGTAGACATTTTCAAAGAGATCCAGCTTGTTGAGGGAAATCCACGCTTTCACAGAAATGATATTCAATCACTGAAACCAGTTACAGCGGCCGCTTTTGAAAAGGCTGTGTGTGTTGGGATAGCAGTGAAGGTGGGTTTTTTTGCCATTAGTCTGTTTGCCTCCCCCAGTCCCTTGGAAAACCCCAAGTACAGGGATTGCTCATGTGCTTGTTCTTTGTCCATGGAACATAAGAAGCTCTTTTCTCTTGCACACTAATGCAAGGGTCAGGCAGGGGCACAGCCAATTAGGGTCTCAGCACTCTATCATTCATTGGCACAACACCTTTTCTTCATGTAGGAGACTGAATAGGACCATGCTCATATAGACAGTGACTCAGCAGGGCAGACTGTTCCCCTTCTGCCCACAGAACAAATATTTTCTTTGAGATCAAGAGCTTCAGGAAGGTGACACCCTGCGAGGGGCTGTCTACTTCCTCCACCTGTCTAGGTCGATGACAGTCGAGGATTCTGAGCATCTCGAAGCACAGGGCCCTAGTTTTGCGATTCAGTTGAGCCTGGATGCTGCCACTGCTCTGTATGCTAAGCTCAGCACTCAAGTCACTGGGGGTTTCTGTGCGAAAAACAAGGCTAAATTATACTGTCACATCTATGCTACTGGAAGACAAGGCTGGGAGGCCCTGCACTAAAGCACAGCGCCACGGTTCCATACATGCTACACCGTGACATGGACTTAACATAGCTCCTTCAGTGCAGCATGAGCACACACAGATACATGCTCCTGGGGCATTTAGTTCAATGAAACAGCAGCCTGTTCAGAGGGAAGTGTTTTTTTTAAAAGCTCAATGCCAAATTAAGCTGAGGAGCTAAAACATACCCCATTACCCCTCTAGCAAATGCGTGGAGAGTTGGAACTAGGCAGGTCTTTAAGGGAACTGACCTACTGCAAGATGCCAGAAATAAAACATTAGAAAATTTAGTCTTCGTTATTGAAATTGGAAAGTAGAAAATTCCATCTGCTTCAAGCTCTTAGCATCCAGTCTGAGGCACAGTGTGCTAAGGGACACAAAGTGAGCAACAGAAGTTGGTAGGCTCCTGCCCTTTGTGTTGGGCAGAGAGGAAACTTAGTGAATGCTAACCTGTCTGCAAAGCCTGCAGGACTCATGGCAAAATTTGGACAATTACAAGAAAAAAATTACTACAAACCTCTCTTGCCCCTTTCTTCCTCCTCCCTGACTCTTCTACCTGAACAGAACCGCAGCTGGTGCCCTTTGGCCTCCCTGCCAAACTGAGCAGGGGGCTGCAGAGTACAATTTTGCCTTTCAAGAATTGTTTTAAAATTGTAATTACAACACGATGCCAAGATAAGCAAGAAAGGAGCTGCCTACAGAAGCCAGTCAGCACAGCCCTGCACAAGTCACAGTTGGGGAAGTTGTAGGCAAAGAATCCATTTATTCACCTTTTCTAATACTTAGACTGGGTCTAGTTTTTCAATAGCTAAAATCTCAGAACTGAAAAAAAAAAAAAGTCTTTTTGACAGGACAGTAAAAGAAAATGAAACGCTCACAAATAGGCAGAAGGCAGGGCAGGGTGACACCTTAGAGACTAAGTGGTTCAGGGAGGCATAAACTTACATAAGTTACAGCCTATTTGCCAGATGCTGTGATTATTACCAACAGGTAGCTATTTCTCTCTTCATGAGAAACACTATGTTCTGGAGACAATTACTGGAGCCCATTGTACAAAGACCTTCCCTGAAAAACTGTCTCCCCAGAAAAATACCTAAACTCTACAGTTTTGGCAAGCCAGGAGCCCACAGCACCTCAAATGTGCTAATGTTCACTTTGGTAATAGATAAGGACCTGCCATAAAGGACTATATGGGGAAAAGAGTCTGGCTACTAAAATTGTGGGAAGGCGTTAGAAGAGAAGAGTAAACTAGAACCTGGCCCAGTGTCAGGTGAACTGTGGGGAGCAGGTGAAAGGAGAGAGGAAGAAAGGACTGAGCTTTGCTATAAGAAAAAGAAGGAATAAAGACTCTTGCATGACAATGGGCACATCTACATGTGCGCTTTACTGTGGAGTTGCCTAATTAGCTCTGCACTAAACCATCACTGTCTACATGAGTGCCTGTATCAGGGCACAGTAGATGAATTAACTCCAGTGTAAGACAGTACTGTTGGGAACCTACAGACTACCTAGCCACAGGGCTCCTAGCCAGCTCCTTTGCCACCCGCTGCCCCTCCTGGAGTCCAGGCCTGACCCCCCAGACTCGCCTGCCAGCCTGGGGATGCTCTGCCCCAGCTCAGCTTGCTACAGTCCCGGGTGCACGTGAAGATGCTGCGCTCGGGAGCAACTGACTCTGGCATGAACTGCACGGGAGTTTATCATGTTGGTTATCATATTACTGGCAAATGTAGGTGCAACCAGTAAGTGGCAATTTGTGGAGATGAAGGACTGTCCAGAAAGAGCACACCACACAGGGGGCTTATTGCATCAGGAGAAAGCAAAAAAGGGAAAATAGCACCACCAGAAAGCAGGTCAGGAAGGACAGCAAAATCCCATTATGTCTCATTTTAGGCTTTAAAGAGAAGCGGCCTTTAGGCTCTCTCGCTCCTTACTCTGTATTATCTTACATGTTTCACTCTGTATAAATGCAATTTTTCTTTTCCACATCATCCTAGTGACTTTTCCATTTGATGTTAATAAACATAGTTAGTCCCATCCTTGGAAGTATGATAAAGATCTTTCTTACATACTCTCTTAGTGGGGCCTTTATAACTGACACTGTGGGGCTTCCAACGTTTGTACCCCAGGCACTGGCTAGACAAAACCTTGGCTAGGATGATATAGTTGGATGGTCCTGCTTTGAGCAGGGGGTTGGACTAGATGACCTTCTGAGGTCCCTTCCAACCCTAACTTTCTATGGTTAATACTTAAGTTAGAATAGGAAAAAAAAAAAGTTTAATTCCCCCAAGCCCCCCCCAAAAACCAACAAAAAAAACAAAAACGGCCAGGCCTGCCCATTCAGACTGGGATCTAAAAGTCTGTTGGGTACTTTCCTCCTCACACATCAGCCACTACCAGAGATCCTGCAGGTGAGTATTTTATTCTTGGGGGGTGATGTATGCCAGAAAATATGGTGGTATTACACAAGATGTATTGGTAATTACTTGTGCCAAGTAGAGACGGTTGCTTCATATTTTTGTCGTGTAATTCACCTCTCAGAATTTGACTCATCAAAACAGCACTCATTTTGCACAATTGCCGATTCTGAGCTATAAGCACCAAGGCAAGTGTCCTTGATAGCAGAAAAAAACAAACTTAATGTCTCTCAGTTTTTTCCCTTCTCACTTCCAGCACCGATTAATTATATCTCCATTTTCCTGGCACTTGCAACAAGTCTACAGTTTGGTTTTGATGAGCTGCACAACAGCAGGTTACCTTGTCATTTCTAACTAAATTGGTTGCACAATAGAGGATCACATGTGACAGCACAGGCTGGGGGATGTGAGTAAGTAGCAATGGGGAAGGTTGTTATTTAGCTCATTTTTTAGATGTGGGCTGCAAAGAAAACAAGGCAAGTTCAACCAGCTAAAAATACAGTCATGTCTGAACCCTTGGCTTTATACTTAGTCTGCACAATATCACCACAGATCAATGAAAGTTCAGCTTCTCTGTGCAAGTTTCAGCTGGTTCAGAAACCATTTCCTCTAGTGGTAAGGCCTACAGTATGAGGCCTTCTGCATACTGGAGACCTGAACACTTTAAACCACAACCACTTATGGGTTTGTTTTGCTTTTCGTGGTAGGCAGCTTTCCAGGGCAGATTAAAACCTGCTTTTCAAAGGTGTGGCCATTTCAATCCAGCCACAGCCAGTAAGAATGAGATTTCAATTTAAACCAATTCATCCAGCCTCTGTCAGGAGGTTTTCACACCAACTGAACTGGCAGTATGTGTTTAAGCACCTGGAAGAGGGCTTGCTAAAAGAGCTCTGCCTAAAGATGGCCTGCATCTGTTCATGGAGAGAGAACAGAAAATGCAGGAAGCAGAATGGTCCAGAAGATATAGGGAACTCAGAAGACCCATGACCTATTCTGTGAACTTGGAGAAGTCACTCTAGCTCTCTGCCTCTGTTTCTTCCTGACCTTTTTTTTGTTGCTGTTGTCTTGGTCAACTAGGTTTTATGCTCCTTAAGAATTGTCTCTTGCTGTAGTTTTGTACAGTGGCTGGCACTTTTCAATCAGGAACTCCAGGCATTGCTCTAATGCAACTTATAATCATAACAGGGCTTGAGATTTGAGTTTCAGTTCTTGGCTTTGCCAGAGAGTTCCTGTTGTCCTTATGCTTTCAGGTCCTCACTCCTCACATAATGAAAATGTACAGCAATACATCTTTATGACACACAGGCTTAAGCTATTATTGTATAAAAATCCCTTTAAAGTCCTAGGAAGGTAGGCCCCACAGAAGTATCATTTAAGTCCTATTAAGATACAAAGCTGACAGTAAGCCCTCTTATTCTCAATATTGCCCTTGTATATTCAGCCAGTCTTCTATTCTCTTGTATCACTAATGTCGCAAGAAACCTGGGCATTGGGCAGCAGTTTCTTTCTTTGCCTCTGTGTTAACTGCATTTATGATACCAGCTCTTGAAACAGCCATGATGTTAACAGTCTACAGGGAAGTTCAGACACTGAAGTGCAACGGTGAACTGAAGGCTTTTCCCTTTGGACAAGAGAAGCTTCACACAACTTGGCTACAGCCTCTTGGCATCGGGCACCAATTAACTGCTCATCAGCAGAGAGCTGCTTAAGATATTGAGGACACTTTGCAAAGATCCCAGCCAGTTCAAGTCAGTCGAACTGTGGCCCCAAAATGTTGAGGATTCTTTTGAAGATGCCATGCCATGCAGTGTGGTCAGCATACAGAATACACTCACTGATAAAGAATGAAAAGTACTGTTGTGGCAGAATGCCACCTCTCTCTCTCCCCCAAAACTCTGCTCTGTGACAATTTTTTTTAATATGGGCCCTGCAGAGGGCAGACATCCCATCTCTTCAGGTAACCTGAGCTGGATACATTCCTGAGGCAGGGGGGAAACCAGCTCCCTCTGCCTACGTGACTGGCATCACACCTGAGTGAGGGGCTTATGCTCCCTATTGTTCTAAGCAATGCCAGCCTGACTGGGAGGGGGCTAGAGCCCCTGCCAGTCTCCCCAGCAACCAGTGATGCATTTCAAATTGGTTGGCTGGCAGCCAACAGGTGCTGGCCTCAATTGGACCAGGTAAAGGAGGTCATAAGGTCTATATAAGTTAAGAACTGCCCAGGAGGAGGGCAGCAGCCATGATGAAAACTCAGAGAGAGAAAAGCTGGACCATCTGAAACTTGCTCTCTCTCTTAAAATTCATGATAAATGAACTGCCTGCCTCCAGAGGGAATCTCCACCTGCCTCTGGATGCTTGTGAGTAAGCTACCTGAGATCCAACTAGATATATAGCTTGCAGTAACTCAGATGCGTGATCAAAGGCTGCCCAGCCACCCTGTCTGTTCTATGGGATTTCTCTGATATTGCTCAACCCTGTTCCCTGTTCCAAACCTACTCCTTGTAACCGGTAAAGTTCTCCTTTGTACCTAGTGTTAGAGACTTATTGGGAGTGGGTCTAGATTATGCCTTGGGGTCCCCTTGGTTTGTCTGACTAAGGGAGACCACTATTTGTGCTTCAGACTGAGGGAAGCACCCCAAGTTCTTGAAGTGGGTTGAGTACCCTCAAGAGCTACTAGGCCTGTGTTTCCCAGGGGGCACAGAGCCAGGATCACTCCAGACCCTGGGTGGTGGTGGCACTATCCCCAGGCTAGCGGGTGTGCTCCAGGAAAGGGGTCAGCTAGACGTGAGGTGCCCCCAGGGAGGCACTCGGAGCCTGAAAGGTGGTTGGGTGCAGTAAGGTGGGTAGCTCAGCGCAGGAGCACCTCCTACTGGCCTGCCACAACTGTGAACCTAGAGCTGAAATCATGGTCTGGAGTTTTCAGCACAAACACAGAGTTGTACAATAGCCTCATTGTCAAAGGTTCAGAAATTAGATGTACTTTATAACAGGTTACACAGATGTTTTATCCTGGGACTTCCACTCCCATTGCATTTAGTATGACAAATTAAATTAGTTGCAATATTACTAGGTTAGTTTATTATCCAACTGTCTGCAGTACATGATAATGCCCCAAGGTACCCACAGTCTGATTTTACAACCATAAATTATTGTCTCTGAAGTGACCCCATACTTAGGGGGCTAAGGTGAGGAAGGAGATGGACTTAAGCTAACAATCACAAAAGAGAAGGGATTTAAACACCTTCACTTATTTATATGTGGGAAGCCTGCCAGTGTGGTTTTTAAATATGTAGATTCAGTTGCAGTTTTCAGTCACGTTCATAGAGTTAATATTTACAGTGTGTTTCTGGTACCTTTCTTTTCAGGTTTACAATCTTATGCTTTTGTGCTATTCCCTACTTATGCCTTTATTTTAAGGTAACAACTGAATTTTTAATGCTTATATCATCTGGCCAACTTGAGTGAAAGGGAAACGAAATGCAGTGGTAACCTCACAACAGTCGCCAGGCAAAAAAAAGAATTGTCAGGATGGGCAGCGTTGCCTATGACGACTGAAAGGACCTGATTTATACAACCAAGACCCTCTCCTCTCCCCTCATTTATGCGTGCCAACACTTATGACTGTGGCATTTTGGGTATAAAAAGGGAGGGGGTGCAATTTTGGATGGATCAAACTGAAGGGCAAAAATGCAGAACAGGTTTGGGATCCTTTAAAAATGTCCTTCCTTTTACTACCTTGATATTACTCCAACACATTCATTCCCTGAAACAATCTCCATCAACCATATGACCAAAAGGCCATTGCTTATTAAGCTAGGTTTTAACTAAAATCCTCTGAAAAAAATATGGTTTATAAATAAAAACATTACATTCTTAAGTGCCAGACAGAAAATTTGCACGTGATGTTAAGTCACAGAGTGTACTCACCATCTTTACACAGATAATGAAAGGTGGGGTTGCATCTCTGAAATGCTGTATGGGAATTTTTGGTTTTGATCTCTCCTGCAGGAAGCAAACAACAATAGCTCAGAGAAGTAAAAGAAGCTATTGTCAGCCTCAAAGATGCCCCTCTTTTTTCCAAGCGTCATTCTTGAACTGTTGGCCATTTTTAAGCACTCCATCAGGTGTGAGAGTCTGCACGATATGTAGTTCTTCACAGGCACTTTAAGGACTTCAAACAGAATGGCTGTTCCTGGCCTCGGTGCCAAGAGCTGCTACCCACAACAGACTCAACACAATTTAAAAGACCTTGCATTAGAATGGGCTGGCTGGTCAGAGGCATACGCTCAGTATTTTGCATTTCACTTCAAGTGCAATATAGTTTCTGGGGTTTCCATAAACGTAGTTTTTAACACCAAATAGCATTTTAACATTTCAGCTGCCCACAGTCTTTCAGTGCAACTGCATTTCTTTCATCCTGAGTGCATTTCTTTCAATGCTCTCAGGGCCAACATATTTTCCAGTGAGCTCTTTCTGATGAGCGCTCATTTGACAAACAGACAGACTCAGGCCCCTGACAGATGTTACACTTAAGATGTGTTTAACTGGTTAATCACATCTTATATAGTGACCTGGCCATATGTTCATTCAATTAATGATGTAATAAAACAAGGAATAAGCCACAAAGACTGCTTACAGATATGAATAAAAAACCTCAAACAAAACAGTGCTTTCTTTACTTGGCGGGCCCTTGGACCAAGCACAGCATATGCCCAGAAGAGACACCATGTTAGATGGACCCAGCTTGCCCACCGTTTGTATAGACTGCACACTGATTAAATCAGCTATTAGATAAAAGCACCAAAAAGCCCTGCTGAAGCACATGATCTATATAGACACCAGGGAGCTGGGTCCAACTGACATGCTTCCTCTTCCAGTAAAGTGCTGTTTGTTTGGGTTTTTTCCCCACATCTGTCAGCAGCCAGAGTTATTACACAAAACGTGTAATAACTTTGTGGCTGGTTCCTTTCACACCTTTAACTGAATGTCCAGCCAGTGTTGCCAGTCTCCAGAGCACACCAGAGCCCTTCAAGACTTGTGTGCTCCAGAGGCTGGGAGCACTGGTCAGCTGATGAGTGGCTCCCCGCCAGGGGAGTGCAGGGAGCCAAGGTTGCTACTTGCTGGTAAACTATGATCCTAGGCACTCCCTACACCAGCAATATGGCATTTTAGGAGCTGATGTTCAATCCCACAGTTGCACCTCCTGCCATGTATGTGAGGCATGGCAGGAAAGACGATTGTTGGAACTTCACATCAGATCCCATGATGGCACCTTTAATCCAACATCTGTCAGCAGCCTCAGAATTTCGAGTGGATGTTAATTCCGCAAATATTCTTACTGTGTCCTGACGAGGGAAGGGTCTGAGTACAGCGAGTTAGGCTATGGGCAAACACAACTGTAGCTGGGGAGGGAGCATCACTTGTAAGGCTTATGTCTGCATGCTCCTGTAGCCATGCAGCTTAGTTAAAATGCTCTAACTTTGACCCTAAAATGTAACAAGCTTAAAGCTCCAGTGGTTTGGCTACATTCTGCTTAAAATGGTAGAATTTGATATAGATACAAACATTTTAACTGCCTGTACCCTTACTGAATACCCTCACTTCCAACTGCCCTGACTGCACTTAACAGACTCACTGGCATTTCCAGAAGGCCAGACTCCCATCCACTTCTCAGTGAAATCAAGAAGAATTTTTCCAATGATTTCAATGAACTTTCATCCTGGGCCTAAGATTCTTTTGAGTACAACTAATTTATTTGGCTACCATGAAATCAATAATGTACCAGGACAGTAAGCTTTTAAATGGTTTGTTTTCTCCCACTTCAATATCTCCTTCCCATCTCTAGAACAGCATGAAAGTGCTGTGGCCTACAACTGCCCAGGTAGAGAAACTCACCTATGGAGCATGTTACAACCTATCGTTTGGGTCACATTTAAAGAAAAATAACCTCCACAGCTTGCTTGCTTTGTTTCTTTCAACATGCATTCTGGCTTTTACACACCGTGGGCCAAAGCCTGCTGCTACTGCAGTCAGTAGCACAACTGCCATTGACTTCAATGGGAGTTGAGTTTGGCCTGAGGAACAGAACATTATAAAAATATATTTGTTTTTCCCCTCTAAGCTGACAAAATCTTCAGTGACTACAATGTGAGCCTGGCTCCTTGTCAACTATATTACAAAGAACTTCCTTTACCTTAGACCTAGAAACTGACCTCTCTCCCACAAAGCCTGTTATCAGGCTTTTATTGGTATAATTTGTTGACATTGGAGATGCTAAGTCATGAAACTTGATATATAATTCCACTTTCCCTGTTCTACTATATATTTTTATTGTCTCTCTCAGTTTCTTGTACAGTAAAATCATTTGAATTTTCAAGGAAAACATTCTTTAGGGGTATAACTTCACGTCTATAAATCCTTCCCTAACTCACATATTTCTCTTACTTTGTGTTTCCAGAGGCATCCATTAAAAACAAGAACTTTATTTTTGGAGAAATTCTGTTCTTGCTGATTTATGCCCCACCTAAAATAATAGTTGACAGCCTTTAGTGAGGAGAAAGGAGGGTACATGATGGATAACACATTGGAGGTTACTGGTTTAATTCCAGCCTGCACTGGAACTAACCAAAATTTGCTACCATCTGGGGACTATTGCAGGTACTGTGTCAAATGAGTTGGTGGCTGTATGATCTCATTCAAAAAGCACCATCACGACTGGTATTAAGTGGCACCCCGGCTCCATCAGGGACAGGGGACAGTTCAACGTTCCATTAGTAATCAACTAGCAGGGACTATGCTTTACAATTATTATATTTATAATTAATGACACTCTTTTGCTTAGTGGTTATCCACTAAGGTTAGAATAAGGGTCCAGAGGCAGGCATCAGAATGACAAAGGGCTTAGAAAGCAAGCCATGTATCAAGCAATTGAAGGAAATAGGTATGTTCAGGTTGCAGAAAAAGTGCTTGGGGGGGACGGACATGACAGCAGTCTTTCAATATCTGAAGGGCTGCCACAAAGATGAGGGAGAACGCAGGTAGAGAGAAAAGGCAGAGAGCAGGACACAGACCAATGGCTTAGCATTGCAGCAAAATTAGTTTAGAGCAGATATTAGAAAAAACTTCTTCGCTGTTAGAACAGTGAGGCCCTGGAACAGACTGCCTAGGTAGGTTGTGGAATCGGTGGAGGTGTTCAAGAAAGTTGGATAAGCATCGGTCAGGGATGACCTAGGAGTAGCTGTGCCTACGCTGTATTATGTTGTAGGGCCCTGAGAAAAATCGCAATTTTGCGGACTGCGTGGAAAACGCCAAATTTAACAAGGACTGCAGCCAGATGGCATGCGGAGCACTGCCCACCACAGCAGGTAAGCTGGGGAAGGGAAGGGGCATGGTGGG